AAAAAAAACAACTATGATGGCCTAGATGTTTAAGTTGCGTGTGTGCTCTGTTTTGGCAATGTATGTTATTTTTGCCTCGTTTTTCATAGAAGGAACTATCAGAGCCAATCTTTGTTTAGAAAAGATGGCATTTTGCAATTAAAACAGAAAAGGCTCCTCAAATGCAAGAGATCAGGCCTCGAACTGGAACAGATCTCCTTAGTTGACATGAGTCCTCCAACTGTATCTGGCAAACAGAATCATACCTGAGGCTCAACGTCTAGTATTGCTATCAGCCCTTGCTCATGGATCTTCCGTATCGTCTCCAGTCTTGTCCCATACATAGCGTCCTCGTGGCTGCCGTACTCCAGGTAATCGTTGTTTGAGATGTCCTGCATCATTTGGTCATGTGATACGAAGTAATAGTTCTTGCCATTTTCTTCATCTTTCTTTGGAGGTCTGGTTGTGTCTGAGGGCAGCACAGCGTGGGAGGGGAAAGAAGGAAGAGAGAATCATTACAGGTCAGCATGAGATGGACCTGCTTCGCCACATGACCATTCGCACAATCTGAATCCCTGAACCTCATAACAAGCTTCAACAAAAACCTTCAAGAAACCAGAGACCAAATACATCTGTGTATGCTTACTCAGAGTGCATCAGTTAGAACACCACTTTCCCACCTGGAAGCCTGATCTTGATCTGACCTCAGCAGCTAAGCAAAGTCGGGTTTAGTAAGAGGAAATTCTGGTTCCCAATGGACCAAAGGCACAGTCCTTCAGATGAGTCATTATATGGAGGTCCTAGGATCATTCAAAGTACCATGATACTGCTCACATGACTAAGAGTGTTAACCTTGACGTCCTGGCTAAATTACACTCTGTATTTCTACAATCTGGCTTTACACTCAACTGGTGAAGCACTTTTGCACTTCTCCTCTTCATCTGCTGTGCAGTGGTGCACAATGCAGCCATGAGCCACGAAGGTGTGGCTGCACTTCAGGTGGATGATGTAGGACCCCACTTATGTTCAAAACACACAGCTACAGGTATGGGCTGGTACTGTCCACCTCCTACTGCTGCTCCATCTGTTGTATTACTGGGAAATGTGTGTGCCCTGTTTTGGAGTTGGGGGGGTGGTGGTGATGGTTGTGATTGAACAACATGGAGGATGCCCACAAAATTCTTCAAAGCCCAGAGCTGTTGACTTGTCATTATCTCAAACTGAGTGGAAAGAGTTTTGAAAATGAGAACCCCAACTTGAATGAGTTTGACATTAATGCCTCCTACCAACCCCAAAGGCAATCTGCTATTTCAAATCTTTCTTAAAGAGCTGGCAGGCCTACCAGCATCTTTAGCAGTGCTAATGGTGTAACTGTTTGATTAACAAGAATAAAACCACATTTTCTATTGCAATAAAACGGAACACGGTGCATCAACCCATTTATGTGTCACAACACAGGGCGTTATTTGAATAGGAACCATCTGGATTAACTAATGCTACTACCTTTTCTGGAATTAAAACGACTGCAGACTAAAAAGGTTAAAACATCTAAAATTATACTTCATTCTGTAGGCTTGAGGAAAATCCTGAGCAACTGCCTCCAGTTTAAACCATAAAAAGTAGTATGGCGTCACTTTACTTTGTTCCCTGAAAGCCCGGACCTGAAGCACTGATGCCTCTGCAGGCTTTCTACATCCCCAAAGCTGGTTAACTGGTTTAATTAAGGCAATTAGGAGCTGGTTCGGGTTTAACCAAGGTGAAATGAAAACCTATAGACACACATGGACTCCAGGACTGGGGATGGACCACCCTGGTGTGGATTTTAGCCCCTGACATTGGACAGAGGAAAACACCAGCCCTGGAGATCACCAGTCCAGAAGAAGCTTTAGATGTCACCCTGCATTGACAATTGTGAGGAACAGTATCATTGTATCGTCAAGTCATTAAATGAGCAATCTTCCATCAGTTTAAGACAATATGTTTATCTTTTCTAGAATTAATTACTATAATGCGCTACTCACTGGGGTACCTAAATCCACACTGAACAACACTTTTGCCATTCATGTGTGAGAACATTACTCCTGTTCTGGAGTCCATGCACTGGCTTCCTATCAGGTTTCTTGTTGATTTCAAAATCCTCATGATCACCTACATATAAATCTCTGCATAGCCTGGCACCTCAGTACCTGACCTTTTATCTTCCAACTCCCCACCTTGCAGCCTTCATTCATTTGTCTCTTCTGCCAGTTTACATCCTATGGTAGACAGGGCCTTCTCTTGCTACACTCCAAAGCTCTGTAATTCGATTCCAGGACATCAGAGAGACACCTACCCAGAGCACATTTACATCTAGACTCAAAGCCTATGTCTTCAGAAAGGCTTCAATTCATCTAATGCAGTTCTAATTCCTTGTGTTTATTTTGGTAATTTTGTTATCTCCTTTAATAATGTTTAATTTTTTTATATCTATTTTTCTTTAAAGCACTTTGAGAAGCTACTTTTAAATTAGTTATTTAAATACATTTTATTATTATAACTGGTTCAATCTAAGCTATCAAGAGATCATTTAGAATGAAGACCAAAACACCTTGTAGATGTTCCCTAAAGATCGTAGACGGTTACAGGTGATTTTTAAACCAAAAAAAATATTTTGTTGCTAATATCTAGGGGTTGGCGAGACATTCTTTCCCTCAAAAGGTTCCACATAAAAGTTGGACCTGCTGGATTGAGTCTCCCAATTTCCATTTTCCTCTCACAGACAGGGGAACACCATGAGTGAGGGACGTCAGCAGCTGGAACTGAAATGGGAAATGTGGCTAATGGTTCTTTCAGGTCTGTACACAGCAATGCAACTTCAATTGGCCAACGAGTCTGAAACACCGGTAATTAATACACTGGGCCATGCCATGATCTTTAAACCTTCAGGCTCCTGCCAACCCCCCCTAGCAGCTTGTGGCCTACGCCTGATCTCTTCCTGTTCATCATTCCCAGAAGACCTCTTCTTCACACATAGCCTGAACAACCTTCAAGGATCCCTTTGTATGTTTCCTGTCTACGTTTTCAGAAACTGAGCCATTCAGAAACTCTGCTCATTACACCACAGGGCTTTGAACTACAGTTTGGAGATGAAATGGTCCAAAACAAGGTTTCAGAGTTTCAAGGAAAGTAGAATATGAAGGAATGAAACTGAGCCAGAAACAGAAGTAAAATGGGACAGGTTACTAACACAGAAGAATCTGTAGGGTAACAGTTTCAAAATCAGGTGACAGATGGCACAGAAGAGATTCAGGTCCATAAGTGAATGAAAAGGTTATTAAGTTGGGTTTAGTAGATCAATTAGGGAGGATTTAAGGACACAGAAAACCCTTTGTAAAATGATTTAAAAAATAATGGGATCCAGATGTACTTGAATATTTTCAAAGCACAGGAAAAAAGATAGAAAGGCCAACAAAAAATCAGAAATGGTTGGTTAGCTACTAAAAAATAAATGGCTTCCTGTCGCTTGTAACTTTACAATTGAACTGGATTGAAACTTACAGCATGTATCAATAACTACAGCAGCAGAAGAACAAAAAGCTATGCTGCAATTTAATAATTAAAAATACAACATGGAAAGCAATATAGATTCCATTATTTACAATGGATATAAAAAGTCTACACACCCTTATTGAAATTGCAGGTTTTTGTGATGTAAAGCCAGAAATCAAGACAAACCATGTCAGACATTTTTCCATCTTTAATGTGACCTTGCAACCAACAAAATTCAAGAGAAAAACAAATAGATAATTGTTAGGAAAAATAATTTAAATAAAAAACCTACAACACCCTGGTTGCACACCATTTTATAATGGGGGCTATAGTTGTGTTCAGAGTTAACCAATCACATTCAAAATCATATCCAAAGGTAAGTAGCACAAAGTGATTCTGATTAACCCCAAGTAAAAATCAGCTGTAGGATTGCCTTGAAACGTTCGTGGTTGCATCCTACTGGGATAGCCATGGTCCGCAAGGAGCTGACAAAACATCTACAGGATCTTATTGTTGAAAGGTACCGATCAGGAGAGGGATATAAAAGAATATCAAAGGCATTGGATGTACCACGGAGGACTGTGAAGACTATCATCAATAACTGGAGAAAATATGGCACCAGAGGGACATATTAATATGACAAATATTAATATGACATATGACAAAATAAGGACGACCCTCCAAAGTTGATAACAGGACAAGGAGCAACAGCAACATGAAAGGAGCTGCAGGATTTCTGGCAGGTACTGGTCACTCCTTGCATGTAACAACAATCTCCCGTATTTTGCACGTCTGGGCTATGGGGTAGGGTGGCAAGATGGAAGCCATTTCTCACAAAAAAGAACATACAAGCCTGTCTAAATTTTGCAAAGAAATACATTCAATCACCCCAAACCATGTGGGAAAATGTCTTATGGTCTGATCAGACAAAGGTTGAACTTTTTGGCCTTAATTCTAAAAGATATGTTTGGCTCAAAGACAGCACAACTCATCATCCAAAGAACACCAAACCTACTGTGAAGCATGGTGGTGGAAGCATCATGCTTTGGGGCTGCTTCTCTGCAGCTGGGACAGGGGCTCTAGTCAAGATAGATGGGATAATGACTAGCTCCAAATATCAAAATAGTTTGGCACAAGACCTGCTGGCTACCTTTCAACATTATAACGACCCAAAGCACACATCAAAGTCAACCAAGGAATGTCAAAGATCAAAGTCTTGGAATGGCCAAGTCAGAGCCCAAACCTCAATCCCATAGAAAACCTGTGGAATGACTTAAAGAAAGCTGTGCACAGGAGATCCCCTGGCAATTTGAAGGAGCTTTAACTTTTTTGCAAGTAAGAGTGAGATAAAATTGTCCAGGTGTGCAAAGTTGATAGAGACTTATTCACAAATGTTTACTGCTGTAATAAATGTAAAAGGTGCTTCCACAAAGTATGTTTGGGGGGGGTATGCACTTATGCAACCAGGGTGTTTTCATTTCAATTATTTTTCCTAATAATTATCTATTTGTTTTTCTTTTAAATTTTGTTGTTTGCAAGATCACATTAAAGATGGAAAAATGTCTGGCCTTACATCACAAAAAACTACAATTTCAATAAAGGTGTGTAGACTTTTTTATATCCACTGTAGTTAAAAATGAGGTTCACACTTAAACCTCTTTTCTTTGATTTTATTTTATACTGCCTTGTGCCAGGCAAGCAGAACACCTTGTCGCGAATCAGGAAAGCAGAATTATGAGCAATGGAAATTGTTGTATTATTGTTTAAATTCTAGACAGCAAAGTTAACATTTGGACCTAGATCCTTATACCCAGCATTAATACCTTGTTATTGCTTGGGTTATCTAATAACTCTTGAATTTATTGACAACTGAAACTAAAAAACAAGTTGACCATTAATCTTTTTAATCACAGAAACAACAGCAATCCATGTGGTGTGTACTTAAAAAAAGCAGCATCCTGCAAAGGTGACATTTAAATGAAAGTGGTTTTGAATCATTCTAAAAAAGCCATTCATGAAATTATCTGGAAAAACATAGCTTTTACAGTAAGTGTCACTGGTCATGTCCTAATAATCACTCCTGCCTCAGGTTTTCACTGGCTATTTATGTGTTGCGTTTTGTACAATTTAAGAAATTTCAACATGGCAATATTTATAGTGTATTTATGAACCACTTTATAGTTATACTCTACAGTGCCAAACGTAAGTGTATAACCAGCATAAATACTGCATAAAACCCATTCCAATCGAATAGGATGTATTCCATAATGAATTTCTAATGATTACTTTTGTTTTGAGAAATTTTAACTAATACAGTGATTTTTTAGGTACGTTTGGTCTGAATAGCTTTGTTTTGTCACTTGTTTTGAAAATAAAGTTATTGATCAATAATATCAGTATCACAAAAAAGTACTGAAGAGACGAGGCTAGAAAAAACTTCCCAAATGTTTTTGACTCAGATACAGACCTGTTGTTAGCTGTAGTCAACATATCACTACTGTTTCTGGTAATTTGTGAACATATTGATACACTGTACAGGGTATTGAAATTGATAGTGTGAGCTGCAATTCAACCAATGATTTAGCTTTCAGGACTCTAAAATCCAGATACAGTAGCTTTAAATCCTCAAGAACTCAGAAAATGTTCTTACAGTAGCCGGATCTAAATTGAAAACACTTTTTCATATTATCCTTCCAGTGAAAGAAAAGGGAGACTACTTATAAATCACACTACCTGTGAAGAAAGTCATCAAGCAGTACTTACGGGGAATGGGGTATGCAAATCTGTCAGGATGCTTTGTAATTAGTGTGTTCTTAATGTGTCTTCTCCCAACACCGTGTGCACCTGTTAAAAAGGGGAAGAAGAAAGCTTTATGTTTTTTATGCTTTATGTTACACAAGGAAACTACCAGGTTCTCACAAATAAAATGAACTTACCTAACAAGACTAGTGTTTTCCTTTTGAAGGCTGGTAATTTCACTACTTCTTCATACGTGACGAGATCTAGTTGATCAAATACTGCAAAACAGACAAAGTGTGAATGCAGATTTTTCCTTTGGTTTAGTGAAAGTTAAGTGAACCCACAGACAAATCTACAGACCTAAATGTTAATGTTAAAAGATTGACCAAGATTTATGCTGAAGACTGATTTTCAGGAATGATGTTTGTGAAGAGTGATTTCTAAGAGCCTTGGAACTCACAACGGATTCAACATTCAATGGATCTGGCATTTTAAACCAGTTTGTAGAATATTTATCATAATCTGGTATTTTTCATCTCTCTGTATGTCATCCATTTTCTGAATAATCATGCTTCTGACAATGCACAAACATTAACATGCTGCTGAACTGGATGGGACAATCTAATCAAGCCATTAGCACATACCCAAATGAAAAGACTAACACCGTACATTTTATCCACACATGTGATACAATAAAAATGTGGTATTTTTTCGCCTAAGATAATTACTACAAGCATTACCATTAAACCTCTCATATTCACCCTTTTTGTGCTTATTTCTAAATTGTATGAATAATATAGGCCTAATTTTCTCCTCAGAATTCAAACTCGTTCTCCAGCACAGAGCTTTGCTCCCAGCATGCATTTCCTGTTAGCACTATTTTTGAAGGATGTGACTTCTGCAGTGCTAATGTGAAGAACTCAGGGGTTGAAACTAAAGACAAGACACAGCAGGAGACCTTGGGATACTGCAATAAAAACAGTAGTGAAATGAGAATGGACAAGCGTTTCATGAGGATAAAAATTAAAAATGGTTCTCTGTAGCACAATGATATATTCATTTGAAATGATAGTGAAAGATGAGGGTAAAGATCTACAGTGGCAATGAATTATGAGTATGCATGTTAATCAGCTCTTCACCCAACCACAATGCAACAGCAGATGAAACTGCAAAGTTACCACAGTTCCTTTTGTTGGCCACATAAAGGATACAAAAATGTATTTACATGTACAGTATAAATGGCAAGTCGCCAAACTTACTTATGGACCTGTATGCACAAAACCTATGTTTACAACTGCATCTCGGTGAAGGCTTCTCTGGGATCTATAGCTAAATAACCCGTCAGAGGCTTTTAGCTGTGACAGAGGTCTTGAACTCAGAATCTGAAAGGCCGAGGACTCTCGCCCACGTTTGTTCCATCCTGTTTTATTACATATTTTTTAAAACCAGACAAAGAGTTTGGTTTAAGTATTTCATTAAATGGGCAAATGGAATACTAAAAACCTCTGGGAAAGAAGTCTTTTTTTAAAAAGCGGCAAGGCTTGTGTGAAAGTCTGCTGTTCGTCCAGCAATGTTCATATCCAATACAGAGGCCTGCGGCATTAACGAGAGCAGCTTCAAGCACATGGGAATTGTCCTTTATCCACTTCAACTCCCTGAGCTAGTGGAAGAGATGGCTGCCTTCTGCCTCAGCATCTGTGTGAGGCCCTGCGCCGTAGTGTTGCACATGGGTATGCCCCAGGTCAAAAACTGCTCATTTTAACATGGCAGTGCTCTGTAGTGAAGGCTTGAGATGAAATGTAAATCGAGGACATGAAGGACTGGAGTGTGAGACCCCGGTCCCACACTTTCGAGGGCTCACGAAGGTGAATTCTACAGGACGTTCGGCAGGAGCAGATGCTAACAGGAAACTGAGTCGTGTCACACCACAACAAAGGGAGGCAAAATCAAAACCACACTGACACTGCACAGCGCTGTCTTGCCAGTTTTGCTTTTGTCAGACGTTGTTCTGAACAACTCTCAACAGAAACAAAACGAGTTGAATAGCAACAATAAGAAGAAGAGTAAGACGAAAAAAAACTTGAAGAAAACAGGTAAGTAGCAAATAAAGAGGCATTGTCACTCAATGTGTTACTTACATGCAGAGAGGCCATTGGGAGCAGACGGCATGAAAAATGTACAGGGGGTCATTGAGATATGGTTCAGTTACATCAGTTAACAAAGAAAATGCATCAAAAATGCACACAGTAAAGCTAACATGCAGTATTATAAATCACACAGCAAATCACACACTCACATCAAGTAATGATTAACACTGCAGTTAGACGAATTGTCAGCATGCTCTTTGCCAGTATACATAACTATCTATAAGACATAATTGTACATTTACACGAGGCAGTTTTACCCTTAAGAAGCAAGCGAGGAAGCTATTAGCCTCAGAGGTTTGAACATGCAATTTTACATAAAAAAATATACCCCTTGAAGGAAGATCTTACAGCAAGTAAAACAGCAAACAATTGAAAAAGAGGGCAAAAACAAAACAAAAACTGACTGCACTGCACTGGAAACAGCTATCTGCACTGAATGCTGGGAAACGACACCCTGCCTCAACAACCAGACATTTTGTTTGCTTTCCCCCCACAGACTGTTTCTAAAAAATAATCCAAACCACCACAATGGGTTTTAAGTCTAAAAAAACACTAGAATGTAAGTATTTAATCATTTAAAAATTAAATATTAATGATAGATAAAAATTGAAATTAACCCGGTGATGAGGAAGGCTAGAATAATTTATAACGTCTCATGTATTTTATTTCCTCGTGCAAATTAAATCATTGTATTTAAAGACAAAATGAAGCATTGATATAATACATACATTTAGCCAAGTCCTAGGCTTGTATAAATGTATTTAATACATTACCACAGAGAGAAGTAATTGTACTGGTGATTAGACTGTGTCTGGAGAGGTCATGTACAACTGTGTCTGACAAAAGCCAGGGTGGACAGAATTTAACCCCAAAGAGACTCACACGACAATACTTTACAGAAGTGGATAAAAATGCCTCAATAAGAAATTTTAAGAAAGACGACAAAAGGGAAGAAAGACGGATTTGTCAGATTTGACAGATGGTTGTGTGCTGACAATCACCTAATACAGGGGATCTTCAACCCTCATCCTGAAGAGCCCCCATTCAGTTATTCTGACAACCCTAAATCACCTGCTTTTTAAAGATCAGAAACACAAGTCAAAGCAACTGAGCAATTCAGCAAGGAATGTTTCACTGTAGGAATCTCAAGTTCATGAGGGCAGAAGGATATTCTGATTGTTATTCCAAATGATCTCTGAAGTAATTCACCGAACAAATCTCCGGCTTAATTGATCATTACAGGCTTTTGGAAAAGTGATGCTCTAAAGGCGGCCTTTGAAACCTGCAGGACTGGAGCTCTCACAGACCAGGGCAGGAGACATTGACTTTTTTTAGGAATAGAAAGACAAAAGGAGCAAAACAGTGGACCGACGGGTAGCCCTTGTTGCGAGACGAACACACCAGAAAGAAACATGGGAGAACTTCTGGCCGCCTGCCGTATTTTATTGAACAGCTGTCCATGTTTTGGCAAAATAGCCGTTGTCACTGCATGGCTTTTTTGCCAAAACATTGACAGCTGTTCAATAAAATTTATTTTGAAGTACAGAGTATGTCCAGTCAACTCTACTTCCTACATTGTTTTTTCTCAGCACCTCTGATAGTTGGTTATGTGTTCTTTTCCTCTCTTTTTTTTGTCTGCCATATTTCCCTGGATTTTAGACAGTTTTCTCTATAGCAAACAGATGTGTACAGCCTACAGCTCGGGAACATGTGGAGAAACAAGCCTGTCTGTGAGCTCATCATGTGCAAACATCTTTTCCAGAGCAATATAAACTCCAAAAAAAACATTCTTCCTTCCTTAATCAGATTCAGGAAACTAGGACACTGGGCTCAATGGGGATTAGTGTTTATCTGCTGTCAGCTCTACAGCTGGCAAAAGTGTGCAGGTTACACAAACACAGTCTAAATGATCCACCCTGCGTCCTGCACATAGCAAATGCCTCGTGTCCTTAAAGTACAGGGAAAAGCTCAAATACTGTAGGTAACACAGGGACTACAATAATTCTTAGCCTGCAAATCACCACCGGCACTGCAGCTATGTTACAGAGCTACAGCTTCTAAGATGAATTACTGTTCAAATGGCCACCTAAAGGAAACACCTATTGCCAAATTTAGCATTACGTAAATACATTTATCTTAAGAACTCCAATTAAACACACTGCAGCAACAAGACACTAGCAGAATTACAAAAAATGCAAAATGACAGAAAAGAATGAAATAAAATGTATCTGACAATAATGGAAACATTATAGAGAAAGAAAGGGAAATGGCAGATTGACAGTTCTTCCATGAGTCTCTCAAGTCTGGGCTCATAGCCAGGGACTGGAGAATTAGCACCCATTCATAAGATGGGCAACAGAACTGGACCATGTAACTATAAATCAATTTGTTTATAAGGTAATGGAAACAACTAGAACTAATCTATAGAATCACCTATACATCATCTTATACAGATTTAGAAAACGTAGGCCTTAACTAAGTTGAGCTCCCTGAACAAGCAACAACAGTAACACACAGAGAGCATGCAATATAGCACATTTAGATTTTTAGAAGACTATCTAAAGCTACTATAAAGCTGCTCATAAAAGAGCAATTCTGAAATTACAGGGCGTAGGCAATGGGAAAAACATGAGTGCTTGTACTGAGAATTAGTTAATTATTGGTTAACAGAAAACAAAAGGTACAGATAAGGGATGAATATGTAAACTGGGGTGATGTAATTAGTGGAGTACCACAGGGATCTGTACTAGGATCACTGCTGATTCTAATTTATATAAATGATCTAGATTCTGCTATAGTTAGTAAACTAGTAATATTTCCAGATGCTCCCAAGTTAGGAGCAAACACTCTAGAAGATACCAATGCAAATTCGAGAAGATTTAGATAAAATTCAATACTGGGCAAAAACCTGGCAAATGACGTTCAATGCAGACAATCTTAACATGCAGGAAGCTGAAACAAACTACAAATACACACTGGGAAATGGTGAGCAACAATAGGCTACATAGGAAAAAATATAAAACATAATATTAGTTTATGTTGACAAATATGTTTTATAGATAAAGTGGGGTAAGGAATAAAAAAGGCAAACAATCAATTATTGTTTCGTCTGGCTACAAAGTCATGGTTCCTATTGCCATTTGCTACTGGGGTTACCTCTTTCTGTGGTTCAACCCCAGCTTCTTTCCTGTAATGTGACCAGGCAGGCCGTATGGAACAATTCTCTATAAACTGTAACTACTGTATAATGTGTTGCGATTGTGCTTTACAGGTGCGACCAACCCCAATCCAGCAGGCTTTACGGGTCATCCTTAAATCATTAAGTTTCTAAACACTTTGAACAATTTCATTTTCTCCACTGAAGCGGTTGATTTGTTCAGTTTACGAAAGCACAAAATAACCTGTAGCTCCTAAACTCCACAGGTGGGTATTCCTGACTTAACCAACTCAATGCATTTCCTGATTTGATGAAAACTCGCCATGTGTTGAGAGTCTTTAGAAATTGATTCAACGGTTAAGCATAAAACCTGCGGGATTGGGGCTCTCCAGGATGAGGGCTGACCTTCCCAATTTTAGAAACTATGGAGAGACAATTGTGAACGCAGTACAGTCATGCACACCCAGTTAGCAAAAAGTGTTAGAGATGGCTGAAACTAATTATACTCATGGTCTTGTATTTTCACCAACTAGATTATGCTGTTCATTTTTATCTTCAGTCCAGCATAATAGGTTGCAGCGTGTTCTTGCTCTTGCCCTGCACATAATACATTATGTGCTAGCCAACACATCCCTATGTGTATGCTAGGCAGCAGACCAGTGGAGAGATGAAAGCGGACACTACATCACTAGGCATGGAACTGTACATGCATCCAGTACAAACAATGTGTTCTAGAGATATGACTTATTTAATTTGTTTTGGGTGGCTCCTCAACCTGTAGCCTTTGCCAATGGGCAAGGAATTCCTGTACAACTTCAAATATTACTGCTAGATTTCCAGCCCAACTGGTAAACAGTTGGCAGAACCCCACTGTACTGTCTTGAGGTTAATAATGCTGATGAGATACTATGCGTGGAAAGAAAGAAGTCATCTACGTTAGAACTGGTTCGGAAAGCCTTTGAAGTTCATAGAAAAGCTCTATTTCTAACAATAAAAGCTGTGCCATATCAGTTAAGAGACAGTTTTGTTTATTCTAAGACTATAGCCTGCAGTTATTATAGGGTGAGAGTTTGGGCCTTCACACATCTTTTGCTGAGCACAGTGGTTTCTATGGAAACTGAGCATCACAGCTGAGGCTGCTGTTCAGCACTGTAGCTTGACAGCACAAAACTGACACAAGGAAACAGTGACATTTTGACAGGTGCCGATAAGCACATAAGACTTCACAACATATCCACTATCAAACGAAACCAAAATCTAATGCGTGTCTCCTTCCCTTTGTTTTAAAACCTTATTTCAGCTGAACACTTAAATTAATTTTCTGTGAAATTATTCACATTCTCTCAATATACAATCCTACAGCTCACACCTTGGGTTAGTTAGTAAGAGGTGTTCAAAGAGAAGCAGTCTTGAGTTTAAAAAAAGCGATAAAACTTGTTGCTTTTTTAAGATGAAAGCCCTCACTCTGCTCACTGTTTATTGAAGATGTACAAGATCTCATTGAGTCAGCACATAATTAGGTGATTTGGGGTTTGGATTTCCTGCTCAAAACAAATGGTGTTGTTAACACTGTTACAACACCATAAAACTAAAAATTCACACAAGTCATGGCTACTTTGAACTGCACCTGATGTAAAAATTAAAAGTTAAAAGACATACAACTGATGTGGAGAGGTTCTTTTTGGCAAAAAAAAATCAGTATGTAAAAGAAATCCCATTTCTCACTTTCTTGGAGAAAAAAATTGTACACCACAGACTTTTTTTTCTATTTTCTTTTTTAAAAGTAGGGTTTTTTCTGGCGAACAATGCAAAACGCTTGCATCAGCACTCTCCTATTAACTTGCACCATTTCTTTCTCTGCAGAGCGGTCAATGAAACAAAAGAATAATAGAGCTGTGCTGCGTGGGTGCTAAAGTCCTGCCATCGACAGTGTGAAGTTGGAATCACTGAGACTGCTTTGACCATCATGGAATCAGAACTCGGTCTCTCAGGCCACCTCCATCTCGAGCCTCAGGCAATCGAGAGAGCTTGCGGTCGCAATCCAGAACCTTCTTTCTGGACTGCAGACCCAACTGGTGTGCACATTGTAGAAGGGAACCTGCACGTGCATCTTCAGGGGGAAAAGAACCCTGTAGGAGGTAGAAGCCATTGGTCTGTCCCCTTACCTGCATTGTGCTTTGCTAGGTATTTGTCTTTGTACTGCTTTTTCTTCTTTCCAAACCAAGTGCAGCTGGCTTGTTGCTCTTGTTTGGTTTTCTCCATTGCTATACAGGCTACACGCCTACAGGAAGAAAACGAAAAATAAGATTAAAAACCGATTCCAAACTGCCGATTGGCATCCTCCTCCCTCTGAAAACCCACAGTACAATTGTAATGAATTGATGTTTACAGTGTAGTTTGATCTGCCATGCAAGGAACGGTGAGCCTTTTACACTTGAGATATCTGCACTGATCAATAAAGGAAATTAACTCAATTCTGCTGTATGAGGTCACAACTAAATGCGGCCAATTGGTGACTGTTGGTGGGGAAAAAAATGACCTCATTGAGACCCAGCAGGCGTGCTTCAGATTTGAAAACTTTTATCAGTTAAAGAGCTCTGCTCTGCCTTAAAAGATATTTTCAGAGATTAGGTACATATTGAAATAACAGCGGGATTGAAGACCTTTTTTAGTCAAGACAAAGTGGAAGTGAGTCAGGATTTAAAAAGGATTTTAGAAAAGCTTCAGTGTGCAGCATCCAAAAAGGGACAATATGAGATCAGGACAGACCCCACCTGTATGTTGGCATGTTTCTTTTTCATAAGGCCGATCTATTGTAGAATGAGCGAACTTTTACCCCACTATTTTACCATAGGGCTAAAGACATTGTGCACAATGTTGTTGATAGAATGCCAGAAAAGTCTGACAAAGCTAATTCAGTTTAGTTTAGTCATTAGTATTGAACATTTCAACATTTTTACTTGTCACTGATTTCGTCATGTTAACTATCCCAGAATGCAAACATGATGTCACTAGTGCAAAGTCATCTTCCAGCTTTATCGTTGTGAGACAGTCCAAACCAAACCCACTGTCCACTTGAGGGGCAGAAAGTTTTAATGTCTCACTTGCTTTGTGTCTTCAAAGTAATCATGGAAGACACAAAGCACTAAGGAAACTGGCTTTGAGAGTGCCAGTCTGTACACTTTCACAATTGAAAAACTTAAAAAAATCAAGCTGTCTGAAGTCTCAAAGGTAGCTCTAGGCCTCACTAGCTTTGTGTCTGCATTACAACAATGTAAGAGGCTGGTTACAACAATGCCAGACAGATTAAGACACTGCTTCGCTTTCATTTTTTTAAAATATGACAAAAAAATGACATTGAATAAATTCAATGAACACCGAGAGACAATTCTAGGGCTAATGTTGTACTTGAATGAAAAAACACTGTCCTAATTACATTACAGACACAGTATTTGTAACTTTTTGGTTGAGTTAATTTCAGCCAAAAGCTAAGAGTAGAACTGCAGTGTAGAGAGAAGTCAAGTGAGAACAGTGAAAAACCTAAGAGCTGACAGGAACTTGCTGAAGAATAGTGGAGCTGGAATGTTTGCATGAAACTATTTTGCTATTTGGATTTTGCTCTACTGTGTTGTAAAGTGATTGTGAAGTAGTTATGCCGTTTTCTGCCTACGGATTTTGCTGATGCCTTCGGTCAAAAGTTGGATATTTTACTACAACATTTTGGGTGAAGTACTGTCTTAAAAGGGCAAAACAGCACCCACATCCACAACCTTGCAAGTCCAGATCTCTAACCACTGCACCGCACTGCTGCCCTCATTCTGGTAAAGTGTTGACCATTTTATGGCATCACAGTGACCACATGAACAGTGGTTGCCTCCCTGAAAACAGAAATCCAAACCACAGCTAGAGGAAGCTCTCTTAAAGCCCTCCAGGAGTAGGGGACCAATTCTGCAAGTGTCCGTGGGTGCTGAAATGACATACCAGCCACCCCCAAAATCATCATCTTGCCCCCTCTCCAGTCTCCGATGAAACAAATTCCCTGTTTAATGCAGCTGTTCCCCCCATACTCACGTCATTGACATCAATGGAAAAAAGAGCTTTATTCGTTTCAAGTCATGAAGAGCAGCCGACAGGGCGCGCCACATGCAGAACGGGTGGAGACATTCCTCGGTGGAGACACTCACCACTCCTGGAGCTCCGGAGATGGGATGAGGCCTGCTGTCCCATTCTTGGCGTTTTCCAGCTTGCCCTGCCACCAGTTGTGGTCATCCTTGCTGATGATCTGGATGATGTCGCCGACCCGGAACTTGATGCCGGCCTCCTTGCAGGGGATGAGGTCATCCTTAGCCGGATCGTACTCAAACTGTGCTCTGACGTAGATCTGCGGGATGACACGCCCATCACGGAGGGCCTCGGCGGGGTTGTTTTTTGCTTTTCTTTCGTCGAAAAGCAAGTCTGCCCCTCTGAGCTGCTGGCGCGATTAAAAGCAAGTGGAGGAAAACGAGGCCGGAGAGCAGATGAAAACTAAGATGGAAGCCTTTCCCAAGACTGCGCCAACATGCTGACAACAGGTGCGTTCTTAATTGTGTGGGATGACAAAGTAGAGACCAGCAGAACTGTAGATGTGACCAGGGCAGTAACGAGTCAGCTATAATAATAACTGCTCACACTTACACAGCACTATTCTGGACACTCCACTTAAAGTGCTTCACAGGTGATGGGGACACCCCTCCACCACCAATGTGCAACATCACATTATTAGGAGGCCATGATTTGCAAAGCTCAGGGGGGAATTTGGCCAGAACACTGGAGTCACATGCCTACTCTTTTCGAGAAACACCCTGGGATTTGAATGACCAAAGATAGTCAGGACCTGGACTTTATATCTCAGCCAAAGGAACCTCATCTTTTTTACAGTATAATGTCCCCGTTGCTAAATTGGGGCATTAGGACCCTCACAGACTGCAGGGTGAGCGCCCCCAGCTGGCCCCACTAACACCAATTCCAGCTGCAACCTCCCAGGAGGTCTCCCATCCAGGTACTGACCAGGCTCACACCTGCTGGGTTCCAGTGGGCTGCCAGCTGTGAGCTGCAGGTTGGTACGGGATGATAGCTAAGTACAATAAAAACCTGAATTAAAAAAAAAGGAAAAAAAGACACTTGAGGAAACAACGGACAAAATATGGACGCAGGACACCAAGTGTCAGGCAAGCCCCCAAACGATCGCCAAGACTGCTGCTTCAGGCTTTCCTATGCATGTCATCTTGGTGCTTTCTAATCAGGTGCGAGGGGCTGTAGCCTTTGTTTCCTAGTTCAAGTTCCTAGTTTGAGTTTACGTGAGAAACTAGAACTTCTAGAGAAGCTGGAAACTGGGGTGTCCATTTTGTGCATGTGTGATATACAAAACAAAGAAAACCGTTTCATGGAAATTCAATGTACAAATACCACTTCTTCATAACCTTAACAGGTTAGTGGGTTTAAACAGTGCTTGTTGTTGTTTTACAGTACATTATTTACTTTGTACAACTGAAATATTATTGTTTTACAGTATTTTAATAAACCTACTGCACTGCATTCTTTAATTTTAATGTTTTCATGATTGAGTTCTTGTGTAAGAGGTTTTTTGTGGGGAGTTTCTATTTAAGTTTCTATGTTCAATAACGGTTGCATATACATGTATATGCAGTATCTGCAATTTGTGATTTAATGGACACCAGCCTTCAATGGACAAAACATCCTTGATTTTTCTGTTAAATTGAGGTGTTACTGTATTCAGGAAGTATAAAAGTAGTAAACCATTTATGCTGTAATCACATCCCCCCCCCTTGAACTAAAATAGACTCATGACTACATTTTTAACAGAAATCTCTAACTGTTTCTCATGGACTATGTAATCCTATTAGCTTCCAAGAAGGACAAGAAAGTTCACTCTGCCCAATTCACATCAGCAGAAAAATAAAAGTAAGACATGGAGAAATTTAAAATGAACTCTTCAAGCTTCACAACAAGCCAGGTCCACACAGCAGTGATTATAGAAAGGAACAATTCCTGCATGGAACAGCTCTGCTCAAAGAATATTTTCAACGGAACGCTTTCATCAGACAGTGAAAAAATTAACCTACAACTAAGGAATCATTCTTTAAATCTTACCTTCAGGTTAATTCTATCCTTGATTGTAGGTCTTGAGATCTAGGATTTGAAAGCACCACACACATCATGCAATAAAATAAAATGGTAATTTGGTTTTAAAAAAACATTGGTGAGAAAAAGACAGCTGTTCACTATTTCTAAAGCAATGCCTTTTCAGAATGTTACAAAAGCTTTTAACTACAAACGTCAATATTTTCATCAGAGGGTGCTCGTTTCTTTCACATTACCTTTATGAATTTTGCTTTCTCTGCATTTTTTTTTGTCCCAGCAGTTTTGACACTAATAAAAAGCTAGATTTGCATCCCACATGTGAGTATACTAGGATTTAACTGATCAGGATTTGCCTGTATGGGTGAGGGCATGTCTGAGCTAACTGGCACAGGAAGGGTATTCAAGTCCCATGACCATGGCTTGTAAAGTGTGCCACCTTATGGACAGTTTCCACGCCAGATGTCCAACTGGTGTCAGAGACTGGGAAGGCCATGTTGTTTTTTATTCACACGAGAGGCTCCCATGTCAAATCCTGAAGGTGCAGAGAAACTGCATTTTTTTCTGGGTCTCCAAGTTGGGAACAGCTCTGTGCAAACCGATCCAGCTAAGGTGTACCTAGGCCAGTTTCTCCCTAGTGTTTATCTGCTGACAACTGGAGGACATGGAAAATCTTCTGGATATCAGGAGTTCCCTGAGCTCCAGAATCTCTGAAAAACTAGTTAAATGTGCTGTGTTGTCCTTATGTGGACAACTGTTCTTGAACAGCATATTTGAAATCACTAATTTTCCAGAGTTTACACTTTTCAGCATGCTATCTCGACTGCTGACAGACCATCTTCATGATTTGTCAGCTTCCTTACAGAACTTTGTCAATGGGCACAGATGTCTACCTACCATACTCTTTAAAAGATCTTTACAAAATATTGTTTCATGAGCTCTTACTCCAGGGAGACACAACTGCATTTTCCAATGACAATAAGAGACATTATTGAATTGTTAGGCTAGGAAACAACCTTTGAGTTGTCAGGAAAATTTATATTATTAACAAGTGTGGGGAAAAAAAGCTCCCACAGTCATACAAATTATTTCTCTCCTGAACACTTTATGGCTATGTCAGGAGACACAATGATATAATCTATTAACATAAAACTTTTATAAAGGTTAAGAATGGGTGATGGAGCCTTATGTTCAAACGAAGCATCATAGTCAGCTGTCATATAGTTTTAATATTGCTGTTAAAAAAACGTTCTAAATTTGCTTGATGCGTGTTCTTTAAAATCCCAGAGTGAGACCTACCTAAATGCTGAAAGTAAGACTTATAGAAGGTTTCATTACATTGCTCGCTGTGTTTTTAGTACAGCTTGAACTAGTCAACTCTCCAAGTTTTTTTCTCTGCATGAACTCAAGCTTATGCTCTTTGGTCAAGAGTCCATCACTGGACATGGTTCTGGCTTATAGTCAGCCTGGGAGAATTAGTGCATTCATTTGATCAACAGGGTTCTGTCAAGACAAAGACTCAATGAAATGATCCCAGGCTTTGGCAAGAGGAACGGAAAAGGAGATAACCCTTTGAATAACCACCTGCGCCTTGTAGATTCTGGGTCTGCTTTGCAGTGAACAAAGTGGGAAACACTCATTTTCAGAAAACTGCAGCTTTTCAAGTGTGAAATGTATGAATTCATGCTCCACGTGTGGGGAAATAGCCAGGCAGCAAAAAAGACTTTTTTGTGTGTGATAGTTTTTACCTAAGTGTCTGCGGCCAGGTGTAAGCCCTCAATAAAAAGCTGATATCTGCCTTACACCACCCTTGGGAAGATTTCATTAGTCATTCATCCTTGAACAAAATTGTTTGCATGCCATCTCAATCCCACTACACAGCTGGGACGCCAGGAGGGTAATGGGTGTTATGATAAGAGGTTTCAGTTCTATTGTTCAGGGTGGAATCTCCTTTCTTCAGCCAAGCTGAAAATAAACCAGGGATATACTGACACCAAGCCTCCTTACCTTGTCACTTACTCAGACGACTGAATCTCAGGTATTGAATAACATGGAAAAAAAAACTTTTAAATCTTTATGACGAATGGTTTTGGCCAGATATGACAAATTGCAGTAAATTGTGATTTTACTTTTGAATAACTCGGGATTTGTAAGCAGTATATATCAAGGCATGATTGAGGTTCACAGTTCCATTTCCATAGTCTTGAGGGAAGTACATAGCACATTTCAAATAGCAAGGAGACTGTGGTGACACAGCAGGCTATGAAAGGTGTACCTTGTCACCTGCGCCTGAGCGTCACAGATGGAGCTAAACCTCTATGGTTGGCAAATCAATTCTAACGTCTAACCAGCTCCAGCTTGCAGGCTGCATCTGTCCATTGTACACGGAACAGTGGAAAACAGCCATGCTAGGTGAAAGTAAGACCATTAAAAAGGTTGATGAGACAGGGGGTCCCATCTAAATTTTCACTGCTATTGGCTGACAAACTGCACGTTCACTTTTAGGAAGTACTAACAATAGGCACCCCCTCCATAAATCACCTGGGGCGTGAGACCTGGCATCAGTCTATCCCCAGGCTGCATGAACAACATTGTTAATGAATGACAAAAACGGAACAAAAATAACCAGCAGGCAGTGGCAGTTAAGTGGGGCGTGTTTCCTACCAGGCTGCTGCACACACATACGGACCATGGGATGGGAGGAATGAGGAATGAGGGGTTTGCTAGAGGCTACGCTAAAGCCTATGAAGAAAGGGGCTAAGGCGTTCGGTTCACCTGTCGTCCTTTCGGCTGGGTAGTCGATGGCAGGTCCTGCAGAATAAAGGTCACCCGTGAAAGAGAAAAAAAAAATAAATGTACCGTTTACTGGGGGAAAAAAAACCCCACCAGGCTTACACACAAAGACAGGCTTGTTTCCTGGCGGTCAATGTCGCAGAAACAAACGTCTACCCCCTCCCCCCTCAACCCAACTCCTCCTCCGACCCACAAGGCATCAGTCTGCATAAAACAGTACAACATGGCTGAACGAGGCCAGGCTCTTAGCGGCAAGCCAGAAGAAGCAGAGAACAAGCTAGCATCTTCAGCACCCGGCTGGGTCAACAACAGAGTATGGGGTGGCTTGGGCAGACATGAACTGGCTGTGTCTTGGGGCCCAGCACCATGCAGCCCTGTTGCTTTGTGGTGACAGCGCTCTGAGAGGGTCTCGGGGCCAGCCCTTTCACACGCATCGCTAATCAGGCCCGGACGTCATATCTGACAGAGCCCTGCCATCTTAAAATGAGCACCCCCCCATTCCTCCCCCTGCAAGAGCACTTCAACACAACGTGAAGCTGGAGCCTGACACTGTTTGTGCGTCTCCTGGGCCAGGAGCTCTGCTGTACCATCACCCCTGGGCAACTTCGTTTTAACACAGCAGGGCTCTGGAAGACTTTCTGGGCGGCTGGGGATTGACGGGCCGCATACTGCATTTTGTTATTTTCTCTTCGTGTCCCGTTTTAGTTTTTTTTTCCCCTAACGGGACAACAATAAAAGAAACCGATGCAAGTCTGTCATACCGTTTCACACTTCCTGTCAAACCTGTATTGCTTGTGGTGAAACACCCTACTGCTTGCAAAGCATCTCCACGCAGTTCGGATGAAAAATTGTAACCTATTTGACATGATACAGCAGCAACAGGTTTGCCTGAGGTACTGTATTTGCTAGGCCCAATACAACAACTGCATATAACATGCCAATCAATTAAAATGCTGAGTTTACATAAAGAGTCATGTGATACAAAAAACATCACCCCCCCCCACCTTCCTTGTGTTGGACCTGCCTGATTATCTGTAGGATCAGCTGCACCAGGCCCTGCAAGTCACACTAGGTCAAGCAAGTAGATATGCTAGCATTTGTGTCAGATCACTTTGTGGCTATGACCCCTGACAGCAATGCTGTGCTGAGCAGCTAAACTGATGGTCTACATGTGGTATACAATACCTTGGCACTATGTGGACCAATGGTCTTCAAAGCTGAAGATGCTGCCTTGCCTGAGTTTCATTAGGACAATGCAAAGGAAGCAGTGCCACCTGGTGGTGAGTCACAGCCGGACTGGCCTGTGGCGGTACAGAGCACGCATGGCACACGGATCACAGCAGCAGAGGGCACACCAATTTGAGAACTGAGACAGCGGAATCTACTTTCCTTTCCGAGCTCCTACCAGGCGAAAAGCCCCTGGCATCTCTTTGTTTCAAGGCAACGACATCTTGATGGCAAAAATATCTACAGGCCTGTACTGTACCATCGCTCCAGAAATGCGCCTTTTTTAAAGAAGCATTGCAAAAGAAGATAAGGCCTTAAAGACGCCATTGTTTTGCACTCAAGATGTCTGCTTACGCTCCTCAACGCTGACTCAAGATTTTGACGTCAGTGGAGATGTACTGCAGAACGAAAACCAATTCGGGGCTTCTTGAATTTTTATAAAGGAAAAGAAAAACAAATGCCAGGTGAGCACCAACTGCAACAACGACAGTCCCAAAAAAAATCCCTGGGATTATTTTTCTGCATTGGAATTGGAGTCCTTACCAAAACAGAATTGTTAATGCTGGTATGCCCATTTGCTGGGGACTGTCTGGATGTGGAGGGGGACTCTCTCTGAAATAAGACAAAAAATTCAGCACACAGGAAGCGGTCATCCATTACACACAACGACATGTCTCAGCATTGACAACGAAAATCAAAGATGGAAAATAAAACACAAAAAAACAACTTAGACCCAACGGCCAGGGGGCGATACTTATTTGGCTGCTGACGCAGGCATGGGTCACGTAGGTGAACGGAGATACAATTTTAATTTCTGAAAAATGAAGTCAATATACCCTTGGAAGAATTTAATCTTACATCTTTACCAATCTCGAACCAGTTTACCAGTTTATAGGTTGCCATACAGCTGCGAATAGAGTAAATGGGTTTATCTCTGTTAACAAAGTACCATCTCTGGGATAAGGAGGGGGACCTTTTAAACTAGGAACACTTCAAACTGTTAACACAGATTTGGCACGATACACTTCTAATTTAAAATGGTTTACAAAAACCTTAAATTAGCACTACATTTGAAAATGGGGACATTAAACATAGACCACACAGTTATCTGGATGTTCATATATTAAAGAGATTATCCAGAACCTGACTGCAAATCTGTGTGTAACCACAATGTAGGGCAGAAGACCAGCAAAGTACTGCCTACAACACATTTAAAATAAGGACCCCTACAAAGTACACAGTACAGGTGCTTATCAAAATACAATACTTTGGCCAAAGAGAAACTGTCTACCGTATAGCCAGAATGTAGTACCTCACATAACCACAAGAGAACGCTAAAGACCAGAAACTACCTGGAACTGGATTTCCTCTGCTCTGCTTTTAAGTTTGGACTATGAAGGCATTCAGCACAACTGTGCTTTTCCAAACAGAAAAGAACAGAAGCATTTAAAAATAATCAGCACTACAATGAAAAAATAGGCAAGCAACCCAATAATTCAGCACTACAGCTTTTAAGATCTTTTTGTTCGTCCTTCCTGATCCTTTAAACAAAAACGACCAGTTTTCCTGGAATAAAACATTCTAATGATGTCAAGTGTATCATAAGCATGCCCAACCACAACCAGTGATAACACTTAACAAGGACATATGGCTTGTAGCATCAAAATACTTCATCTTTCTGTCAAAGCTAGCAGCTAAGTCTGACACCCCTACAGAGCAGACCTCTATTCAACCAGTTAATGCGTTGTTGACAGAGAGCACTGATCAAAGCCCTTTGATTTAACACTTTAAAAAGCCACTTGATGTTTCAAAGCACATCACAAGCAACAGGCTCAAAGGAGTCAAGGGCAGCACATCATAAAAAAGGCCTATTGTTCCTACCTACTGTATGACTGCACAGATATCTAAGAAACAAAGCACATTTTTGTTTCTCTGGTTCTGAAGTCACTCCAAAGCTGTTTTAGCCTGATGTTTCATGATCTTTAATGGCCTCTACTGTTAATAACACTTTTTTAATCTGGCCGCTGATGTCATAGAGCAGGGGGCGGGGCTTTCTGGGTTAGTGCAGGGCTGTGGGGATGGGCGTGGCCATCTGAGGCAAGGGGGCGTGGCCTTCTCTACGGTTCCGCTTTCTTTGTTGTGAAATTGGTGTGCAGAGTCCGAACAGCGCAGGCAGAACCCAACCTGCCAGAGTAGCGTTAACACACAGCCAGCCGCCAGCAGGCAGTTAGTCGCGGGGTCATCGAGATAGAAGACGAGGAAACATAATCAAAGAAGACAGAGAAACCCACTGGACGAAAACATTCGAAAAGAGGTTGATTTAGCCCATTACCTCACAAGATGAAGACTGGGTACGGTAGCTTGGCACAATCTTAAATGTGATACTTCCTCGCATCTCCCTCTGTTTGGGGGGAAAAAAATGCACACAGCACAACAAATAGACTTCTCATCTGCCTTCTGCTGACATTTTAATTCGTATTATGTTCACAGGGAAAGAGCATATTTAATCTGTTCTAATAGTGGGAATGTGGAAATTATCTCTCTTTCCAACACAGGAAAATTAACAAAACAGCAGCACTTGTCAAAAAAAATAACATGATTCTCAATCTGACTGCAGTGTCAAAACACCCTTCATGATGAGGTTAATATGAGTATCACAGGCTATAAAAAGCACAGGTTATGTCATTTGTTCTAATAACACTTCTGACAATTGTACAAGTGCTAAATGAACTGAAAAACAGAACTAGAACCAAAAAAGGCCATCTGGTCCACCTCACTTTGCTCTAGAGATCCTTAGGTACTGCTTGCGTGTTTCAGCCCTACCAAGGGATCCATCTCTGAGTCTCATGGGCAGGACTTGGCATATACATCTAAACGCAGCCCACTCACTAAGTGGCGAAACCTGAATTATTTCTGCACGCCAGTACTTACAAGCATCTTCTGAAGTTGCTCCACAGTTTGGTTGGCTACACTGATGCCATTTATTTCTCTAATTTCGTCCCCGACATGCAGCGTTCCTGCAAGGTGAGAAGAACCACACATGGGTGTTACCGCCTGAGAAATCTGCACCCCTTCAGCTCAAGAGAGCAGAGCTGGGCCGCCACAGCAGCAGTATCTAACAGCTCCAAAATAAACACGACCGTACCGCATTTATCTTTCCTCGCACACTGGAAAGGAAAAAAAGACTACTGCTTGCTGCACATGTCAAGAAAATAACCACAGTATATCTGTTATGCCCCTTTACATTTTTTCCTGGGTATTTTTTCATAGTTTGCCATGCGTTCAGAAGAAAAAATCCTTTCTTACTTCATCTGGAGCTCTGATGAAATTCATGGCAGTGGGCAGTTGCAAGCCTGGCTAGAATGTTACCTGGTCTAAGATGGGGACCCATTTCCTCAACCATCCAAGCAGATCTACCTTAATACTGCCTCAGCTCAGGTACAGTTGGGGCCCTGCGGGGTAAAGCAGCCCTGAGCTAAACTGAGCTCTTTGCCAGGACCTGAGTTGTTCTTTTTAAGCAACCCCTGCTGACTAGGATCATTGATGAATGGGATCTGCCTGCCACATCGAAGTCAACCTGCATTTGTATTTGTTGGAGCTGAAAAAGCTGAAACGCTGCAATGGACACACAAAACCGGGAAGAAAAATAAGCACAAGATATGAATACATGAAACAAATGGCCCAACCACATTTTTATTTAATTATAGCAAAAAATGAACGCTCTGTGTGGCAGAGGCCTGTATACTGACCTAGCAAACAAACAGTTTGCACACAAATACACATTTCATAGATTCAAAGTTCGGAGACAGTTCCTGCAGACAGCTGGTGGATAGTCACTAACCTGTTTCAATCCCCTTTCGAACTATTTCTTCAAAATAAAAAATAAAAAACATTTCGACTTGATTCACAACTGTTAATCTTAGCAAACCTCTCAACAAATTTAAAGCTAGATATGCAGATACACTGCATGTCATGCCCTGTGCAATAATCTAATTGCACTTCTTCACCCCCTCCAATGATTTTATAGATTTCATGTTACTTCCTTACACAAACTTATGTTGGCAATGTGATTATCTGCTTGCACTACTGAGCACAGGCTTATTCTATACTGAGAACATGAATTAACTACAGCATTGTAAAACATTCCACTGAATCCCACAGAGTGGAATGCCTTAAATTAAGGATGACAACATATTCCAACAACTTGCTTTCATCTTTTCCAGCCGTGCTGCACAATAAGGAACAATAACCAAAATCCTTAAACTTGACACGTGAAACCTAGAGTGCCTTAATAATAATAATAATAATAATGGCTTACACTTATATAGCGCTTTTCTGGACACTCCACTCAATGCGCTTTACAGGTAATGGGGTCTCCCCTCCACCAACACCAATGTGCAGCCCCACCTGGATGATGTGACGGCAGCCATAGTGCGCCAGAACACTCCCCACACATCAGCTATTAGTGGGGAGGAGAACAGGGTAATGAAGCCAATTCATAGATGGGGATTATTAGGAGCCCATGACTGGTAAGGAGCAATGGGAAATTTGGCCAAGATGCCAGGGTTACACCCCTACTCACTTTTCAAGAAACTCCCTGTGATTTTTAATGACCACAGAGAGTCAGGACCTCGGTTTTATGTCTCATCTGAAGGACGGATCCTTTTTACAGTATAGTGTCCCAGTCAGTATACTCTGGTATTAGGTACCACATAGGCTTCAGGGTGAGCACCCCCTGCTGGCCCCACTAACACCCCTTCCAGCAGCAACCTTAGTTTTTCCCAGGAGGTCTCCCATTCAGGTACTGACCAGGCTCACACCTGCTGAGCTTCAGTGGGTTGCCAGTTGCAGGGTGATATGACTGTTGGCCTTACAATATTTAGGTATCTGGCACTGCCTTGCTTAGGTTCACAGATATATATTAATGAAATTGACTGAAACTCCTCATGTGAAACCTCCTCCCAGCAAAAAATATCAGAACAGTGATAACATCAAAGAAAGGGTGTTAACTGCTTCGGATCTCAGGCATGGATTATAACCCAAGGCACACTTCGATTGGGAAGATTACCTTGTCTGTGTATCATTCCTCCATGCATTATTCTCGCAACAATGCAGTGGTTCAGGTCATTCATTTTCAGAGTGATACCCTGTGCAGAAGAGAAGTAATTAATTGGATCGTGTTTAAAGAACATGCTGCAATTAAACAACGCACAACGCATCGGACTGGATTCTAATTTTCTTCTCGTCTCCGGGGATTCAGTGTCGATTGGGGGAGAGGTGCATTTCTCACTGATGTCATTTAAAGCATGTATCCTGGACGTTACAGGAAGACTCTGAGGGGATCCAACGCAAGTATTAAATAACCCCCCAGGCGTGACCTAAAGTCACCCCACTGAAGTTACTCAGTATCAGCAATGAATCGTGAACCAGAGATCACAAGTGGAAACTACACGGAAGTACATTTACAATCAAGAACCAGAGTTACCCAAAGCGTTGGGGGATATGCAACAGGCTACCTATCCAAGTTACTGAAGCCAAGACTTCTTTAAAAAAAACAGCTAGTTGGGCTGAAAAGGCTCCTCTTGTATTTAACCTTTCTTTCGAAGCTACTGCCTATGGGGGGATCACCATCTCAGGATGGTGGCGTTACTGGGCAGCAACAAGTAAAAGTGAATTTCTAGAAGACATGTCTGGTCCTGTCAAACTTTCAAAAGCTGTAACATGGACTGGCATTTGAATGAAAGCACAGCAGAAGTACAACACACTGCCATACTAAAACACACACCCCTCCAGAACCAGATTCCAGGCTGGTATACACACTATTGCAATATCAGCCATCAGCAGGAATGCCTACATCTGACCCTTCACAGTGCACAAGGACAGACTCCCTGACTGTGTATGCGGAGATTTGTCCCCTCTCTGGTGAAAAATGTTATGGTTGTCAAAGGGTTTGGAACTCCAATGGGAGTCTTGAAGAAGCCCCAAGAGGACACTACTGGCCTCCGAAGGGTGTTTGACCAATGGAGGAGTGTGGGCCAGAGGGACCCCCTCACCATGGGCTCATCGGTGTTCTTCTGGAACTGCACCAGTCGCACCCGGGTGACGTTCTCCATGTCCATGTCGCCGTTGGCGCTCTCCGGGGAGTCTCCGTTCAAGTACGGGGAGGTGGGTGGTGGGGTGACCCTCAGAGCTTCGTCACTGTACACCTCGTGCGCCACAACATCATGAGTTTGCAGTAAGGCCTGGGGAGGGACGAGAAACCAAACAGGGCGAGTTTAAACCACTGTCAAGGTGCAGCGACCACTAGCAGGAATCCAAATTTTAGGACCCAAATATTTGAAAGGTCAAGTAAGGATATATAAAGGCTTCAAACGAGAGGAGGCCGCTCGGCCCATCTAGCCTGGGCTTCATAGCCAAACATCTGACCGATTAATCTATTCCGCTGCAGGCCGTCGTCAGAACCATCCTTTCAATTGCTTGACCAGTCGATAATTCGACAGGATGTTTTGGAAGCCATCCATTCTGAAGAACTAAGAACTAAGTGGATTGAGAAGTTGTGTACAAATGTTTCAAAAGCCACGTTTCATTTTTGTTTTCCCAGTAGTGTACAATAACCATAAGAAAACAGACAAAATGCCCAGGAGTACAGAACTCCAGGCATAACACAGGGCTGGCGTGCCTTTAAAGGGAGTCAGATGGTTGTTTTCACTGCCCAAGAAGACCTCCAGTGTGCTGGGCAGGTCAACAAGCTTCTGCCTGTCTGAACACAACTGCTCAAGCTCAGAGGATTGGGATCATGCCTAAGGGGTGAATCTGTGAGGATCCTGCAGTAGTACAGGTGATGCTCTGTGCCCTGTCATTAACTGGACGTGATTAACTAACTTCCCAATTGTATAATCTTTTTATAAACCAATAGAGTCACTGAACTGGATTTTCAAGAATTCGGGAATATCTCTCTGGGGTAAGGGTACTAGTGACTAAAACTTCCTCACCCACTTGGCCAAAAGTTTCAGATTGAATCCACTGGTTCAGAACTCCAGTACAAGATATTTTTAAAAAGTTGGACAAGTATAATAGGACAGTTATTTTACTTCAAGATACACTTTCCCACCCTTCAATCTTCAGGCCACAAACTAGTGAGACTAGGTGCAGGAGAAAGGAAAAATGCCACCTGCGAATCTCTGCACCTCCCTTGTGCTAATTTACTCCTCTATACCAGGAGGCAAAACGTTCTTTTGACATGAACTATGGTAGACTGTTGTAACAAAAAAGGAAATTAAAACTGTTAATTCAAAACAGAATGACCTGCATTGCACAGCACTCCCAAATTCAAACAAAAACTCTCAAACAGAATGGAAGTATCCAGAATCACCCAAAATATCCAAAATGTTTGTGCCATGACACAATTTGATTAGTGTGCTTCTGCATCAGGCAGTAAATTCAAAAGAACCAGACATCCGTGTTTAAGTCTGCTCTCTTATTCTTGGCATTATGTCCACACCTTTTTACAGGGTGAGTCCTGAGTATGTGACACAGGGCTCAGTAACTGAACAGATTTTGCATCTTAAACAAATGTGGTTGCTGCAGGAGTTATGAATGGATGTTCCCGTCACAAAAAACTTCTGCTTATCTAAAAGTCAGACAAAATTCTGGATTAAAAAAAAGGTTAATAACATTCTGCTTTTGTATGTTGCCATAAAAGGACCGAAACCATTGCTTTAATACAGCATTAGCATTAGAAGCCCTGAACCCAAGCTCACTTGAGCAGCTCGGTGAAATTGTGCGCAACAGTACGGACATCGCAGAGCTACTTATACAGGAATGGGTAGAACACAAGTTCACGTCTTCAGAAATGAAAACTGAAAATATTTTTCTCCACAAATGTTACATGGCATCTCCAAAAAAGTACACTGAATGCAGTTGCAATTCTTAAAGCAGGTTATAACCAACATTTAACATCCCACACGCATTCTACAGACATGAGGACTTTGGAAAGACTTCAGATTTGAGCCAGAACTATTTAAAAAAACATGCCACCTTCCTCATTTTCAATAGTCTTTTACTGTGCATGTAGCTGACTACAAACACACCAACCCTTATTTTGCCTCTACCTTTCAATAAAGACATTTAGCAAAACAATTACTACTTAAGGAATTTTCTTACACACAAACAGTAACTCAAAATCTGCATTTAACATACAATAAAACAATGATAAACTCACTTTGAGGACAGGACGAAAAATAACCAGTCAGTCAAGTAACAGACTTTGTTACTTGTTCTTTAATGACTGTGTGCGATGCATAGACAAAACATGAGATAGAAGCGCAGAGGAATTTTCCAGTGTTCTCACCTATGCCGAAAGGAAAGGGATCTCGACACCCAAAGCACTTTCTAAACTCAGTTCCCAGGCTATTGATCTTGCTGTGCAGTAACTTAAGCAGTGAATGCAGCACCAGCAACTGCAGGAGGTGTGTGTATGTGTGGGGGGGTGGAATGGCTGAGATTTCACTAGTTTGTACCTGACAGTGCCTCCTTCTCCAAATCCCCCCCACCTCAACTCCTTGCTCAACATGTTGCTCCGCACTGCCGCCTCTTGGAATCCTGCACATTCTGCCTGTCTGTCTGTCTCTCCCCTGAGCTGCACTTCCAATAACAACTTTACACGTGAAAAAGTAGGATCTTTGAAGTCATCCTCTGCAGTGTGATGTTGTGGACAAGGACAAGCAGAAAAAGGGCTTCAAGCCTGGGTTTAAATCCAGCGCCACCCCGATAAAATTCAAGCTGATAATGAATTAGCTTGCCGCACAAGTCAAAATCAAACTGACTCAGCCATTATGAATAAGGAAACTGCTTAGCATGTAGTTTGAAGCTCTGCAAAAACTATTTTTTTCTACTGAAACGGCTATCAGTATTCTGAAGGCCAATTAAAATTCCGTTACATAGTTAATTTTTTTTTATTTTCTCCATCACCAGTCTCTAGTTGGAGAAAAAGTTGGAGGCACATTTTATTAAGAACAAATACAGTTTAAGTGTATACATACCAGAACAATTCTCACAGTGCTCGATGTTATGGTGAGGTTGCTTATTTCCTTCAATAAACATTTTATTTGGACTCAAGTCTAATATGCCCCTGCAAAACAGTATTCTTCCCTGGAGACTCCCAGCAGCAGCCACTGCTAGGGGACAGTGTTACTCACCATGAAGTGGGGCTGTGTGAGGATTCGCTTTAATTCTTTAGCATCAGTGTTCTCTGGGTAACAAGAAATCTCTTCCAGTACCTGGGAAACAAAGAGGAAGTCAGACTTTCTCTGTAAACCAATTCCAACTTATCATAAAATCACGTAAGGCAGCAGGCGATCCAGTCAGTGTGACCTCTGAAATGCTGATAGATCTCTCACCCCCACCCACCTCCCAAACTCTAATTCCAAACCTGAGCAGCAGTCACATGACGCCGCTTGCTGATAAACACACCCCTGCAAAGTGGACCAAGGTTTCAGCCAAGGAGTTTGTAATTTGTGGTCCTCACAGGCCAGTCCCGAGAGGCACTAATTTACTCCACAATTCCTTGCCTATAGCTCGCTGAACAAACATGTCACAAATCAAGAGCCCCTTAAGAACGGTTTAGAGCTACAACTTCACACACTTACAGCAATTTCCATGTTCGCCATTCGGCCCTCTTCCACCCACTCCCATGTTAAAAAATACCAAAATGCTTTAAAGACATTTCCAAGTTAAAAGTTGTAAAACGTCTTCAGCTTACACATTCCAGGTGTTTCAAAGCTGGACTTGCGTCGTCGTCGGTGGAATTCTTAGCACAAGAAGACACACAATAGGTGGATTATACACTGTATTTTACTGTCTCTGCAAGCGTTCACAAAATCATTTCACTCTGCCTTCAGAAAGGCTTGCAACGACACGGCAGTCAATCAGGAAGAGCCAAGTGAAAGGTGTTTGGTTAGTTGTTGAGCCCCCGTTCAAGTCATTTGCCCAAGTCGCTCAAATAAAAAGACAACTTGATAATTATTTTTAAAGCATTTCAGTATTGCTTGTGAAATAACGGTGAAGCAAAGCCAAGCAAGTTAGAAAACTATGTTTTCCCTTTACATAGCCCCTTGGTTAAACGATGTCACAGAGGCAGTTGGACATTTAAGATATATGATGCCTTCCATCTCTTTGTAGCCTCCTGCTGCATGTACTGTACTGCACACAATCACAGCACTCAAGAACACAGGGTGAATAGGAAGGCTGACTATGTGAAAAGTGTGAGTGACCTTTTTTAATGCTGCTTTCACAGAGCAGAAAGACTTTATTGTCTTAAGACTTGCAAGTAATGAAACATGTAAGAAAATTTGCGCTTCCCCAAGATGGACTAGGACACGCAAAATGATTTTAAAAAAGAGCTTGAATACTTATTTTTTATGGTGACTAAGTAGCTATAAAGCCGTCTCTAGGCCTTTAAGTGAAAAGTGTGTTTTAAAAGGGTCTCGTATGACTTGTGCTATGCATATTCCACTTCACCTAACTATTACGAAAGGGCGCTACTTTCGCAAGCCCAGTGCTGATGACCTTTACCTGCTGCCTGACACAAAACATCCCACTGGGACCATGGTCAACGAGCTGTGCAGTGCATTAAAATGGGAACAAGGGATTTAAGGGGGGCAATTTTCCCAAAAAACAGGGCAAAATCTGTCCGCAGCAGAGGTGTGGAGTTGTGCTAAGTGTGTTAGGAAGAGAGTTAGTCCAACCAGTTAGTCCCTGTACAGCCATAAAGGTCAAAGGTGAGGTGTTAAGCAGAGAGAAGCACTGTACATACTGGAGAGAGAACAGCATGCACTGCAAAACCCTTTTAGTTTGCCCTGGAAAGCCGTGAATATTTCTAATGAATATACAGAAGGGATTCTATTAGCTGCTACAGGTTCCTAAGGACATTAAATCTAGTTCTAAAGCAGGTCAGCTGACATATACATAAGTTAGGGAGACTGTGGTTGGCTTTCCTAATTTAGCCATACCTTCTGGTTAAGTAATCATTAACTACTTTAATGATTAGAATTTTCCAAAAAGATATTCTGCAATGCAATTCATTTAACCCACTTTGAGTAAGTGAAATTGTTCAGGTCAATGTATCATTCTGGGTGTCCAAGACAGAAGTGAAGAAGGCAGAATGGAAGGGGGTGCAGAACTCGGGTGGGCAGAGCACAGAGAGTGAAACACTCAAACCAGCTACCAGCCCAATCAAGCTTCAGTTCAGGTTGGGGGTCAGGATCAATGGGCTCCCAATTGAGGCAAGCAGGCTCTAACCAGTTCTGATCCCATTCTCGACAGCTTTTAGCTGAGAATACATACCCTCAAAGCATTGCCATTCAAGGCATCTTGGTCAAGGATAGTGCCCTAGGAACCCATAGTCAAGACATGAACCCTTAACCCTCTAGTTGGGATTCCAGATCCTTAACCATCACTTTAAGTCAATGGGCACCTCCTTCTCCTCCCCTTCAGCCAACTGGTGCTCGAGACGCAGGAGTACTGGTGTACAACTGACTGTCATGTCTCTCCAGTTGTCTCTGGAGCTTCACGGCCTAACCACCAGGTAGTGTAGGACCAGATTTGCAAGATGCCTATCCCTCTAGGTATCCAGTGATGGCCATTTTTTTCCCTAGATACGAAAGGGATTAGCTGAAACTCACAAGTTACAGACCTGTTTGAAAATTTAGCTTCATCTCACGTCGTAGAGAACATACTTTCCAAAGACGAGAGAGAACTTCTGACTTAGGTTGTACCAATAACTTCACCAAAGACACTATCCTTTAATGCTAAGTGCCCCTAATTAGTTATAATTCTAACTACATTTAAAACGGAGGAAAAACAAAGGCCGTGAGCAGCCCAAGTCAATAAAAACAAATGATGGAGTCACCCACATCTCACTCAGTTACTCTGTTAAGCCTTAACTGTGGTTTAACAACAGATTGGAGATATCTGCTCTGTTTTAGGTTCACGTATGCGTGTTTAAAAAAAAAATTCAGATGAGGGACACAGTTCAGCAACAGGTTGATTGTGTGAGGCAGATACACAAAATACAAGAAGCTACGGTAACTGCCTGGAATTGGCTTCCTGCAGAGTACCAGGGTAGTGTCTCAGTGTCTCGGGAGTCTGCGGGGAAAGATTAGGGAGGGAACATTTGCAGGCTTTTCTGCAGAACCTCCTGGTGCAGGGAACTGTGAAACCATAAATGTATGAAAAGAAAATCAAGTGTGTCAGGACTACAATTACCCCATGTAAAGCTCAAATTTTTTTCTATTTCTAGCAAACTAAGCATTATACACAGTCATTTAAAGACTGTATTTCATCAATCATGAAAAGATCCTCCTCACTGTAATTTCACAAGGTCTTGAAAATTCCCTCTTACATTAATTCTATGTGCTATATTAATGCGTGTGATATGGCCCTCAGCCAGTATAACCTTAGCATGACTAAGAACATGAGAACAGCTTCATTCTAGCCCCTGGAGATTTCTCTTGCTCTTACAGGCTGGTTGCAGCACACAAGGCAAGCATGAAAAAAGCCTCTATGTGACACATTTTGCAATTTTGGCCTGCGGCTTTGAAGAGAGGGACACATGTGGGCGGCTATCATCCTGGGGGATGAGAACTGGAGCACTGATAAAGGTAGATCGGTGCCAGCCAGCACCAGCCCGAGAGGAGAAGCAAATGGACACAGATCAGTGCTTTTCACGTCCTGTAGGAAGTGTTTGTCTTACTGAGAAATGCAAGAACATTCCGCCGCAGGGAAATTTGTTTGTCTGGGGAGCGTGAGCGCAGCACAGAACCCCTGCTGATTTAACGTCAGGAAAGGGAGGAGACAGAACACATCTGTCAGTCAGTCTGGAGTGGAGAGCGGAGAAACCAAGATTGGTTTTCCGGACAGTTGGACACTTTCCCATAATGCCTCTCAATCTCCCAGAACCCCTTACAGCTCACTGGTCTTCATTCCCTTTCCTTGCTTTTTCACTCAAGCCTTCTTTTATTTGATTAAGCAGTTCAATGAAAATTGAAAAAATTGTCATTAGCTTCCTTTGTACACAGTGGCCTACTGTTGGCATCGGGCGCTGTGTTGCAACAAATTTGATTTTACAGGATTGGAAAGGTTGTAAATTCGCAGGCTTACCAGGAGGACTGGGAACCCTGATTTTGAAGAACTCCTACAAAGACAACCCAGTCTCCCCAACCTTTTCTTCACATAGGTTCACACAGGTTAGTGAAGAGCATGGTGCAAAAGCCACAAGTCATCTCCAATTAGTTCAAGTGTCAGAGCTAACAAAGTGCAAAGTCATTTCTACTCAGGCTATTTTTAAAACCATATTGTCTTCTTGCAAAATTGCAGCTGTATTTACAATGGGCTTTTGCCTAGAAAAACACAAAGAAGCATTCATTTATATGCCCTGTTATTTTGCACTAAGAGAATAAAAGGTTTTAAGGACCAGACTTTTCAATTTAAAAACTTTAGGGAAAAGTTTGTTTATGACATAAGACAGATCACATACAGTACATTTGACTGAACACTGGAACAAAGACACACAAAAAGAACCATATTTGTGAAAGAAATCCCTCACAAACATTTAATATGGGATGACAGCACTGTTTAAACACGGTAATTGAGAAAGAAAATTGACCACATCCATTGTTTTTTTTCCAAAAGCAACACACTTGATGTACACAAATTATAGCACTTTTACATACCTTTCTGTTCTGTTACTGAGGTGTTCTGAGTTTTAAATTATCCTCTGCACAGTAAATTATGGCATTCTTTAGAATGAACCACTCCAGTGGTTTTCTGCCTTTTTTTAAATGAACAAGCCAGAACAAACTATTGTGCTGGTGATGATAATATAATATTCTGGCATGATGTAGGTTCTCTAACACAACTACATAATCAAAAAGGAATCAAGGTGATACAGCTAAAGATTTCAGAGTTCACAACATGTATTTGTGAAAGTTTTATGGCTCTTTTATAGTACATAGTGGGGCGTTTTTAAAATGGGGAACGTACACATCTGTTTCAAAGCAATGTCACAAATATCTTAATCTGTATTAAACTACAATCTCAAGGTCTTAAACCTAACAGCAAAATATGAAGTGTTTTTTCTTCCGTCAGAGGTAGTCAGCGTCTCTCATACCTCATGGGGTTTTATTACAGTTTGCAGCTCCTTCTTTGGCACTTTCTAAATATGTTCACATGCCTCCATGAACATCTTAAAAGTAACTTTTCTGCTGGCATGCAGAGTAAGGAATGCTTCAAGAAAAGCTACATGAGACATGAGAACCAGTGACGAAATTGAGACGTCAGTAATGGTGTTCAGTCTGTCTAATTCAATTGTACTTTTGTTTAATTTTCTGCTTACATGAATGATTTATTTTTAGGATTTAGTTTAGGCAGTATCATGCATTTAGTAAATTGCCCTACTGTAGATAAGGACATCTCAGAAGCAGATAAGTATGTCGCCACCTGGTGGCGATAATGCTGGGAAGACAGAAACAAGCCTGGATAGGCCCCAGTGCAGGAGAAGTCCTGACAATAAATACTGTGATGGACTGCTCTCACCTCTTTGGCTCTCTGTACAGCATCACTTGGTGGGTTCCTGATCTGCGGGGAGGACTTTGTATTAATCTTGTCATACAGCTGCAACAGAACAATGAGACACAAAGGACAGTTAAACAGACGCACAATTTCTTTGCCTCATATTCATACACAGACACACATAATTCCTCCCCACCGTATCCTCGGTACTTCACAAGAAAAAAAAATCATTAAGACTCTTGCTTCCAGAGAAAATATTTTTTCCAAAAAGACAACTTTCTGGTCTGAAGTTTGGGGTGTCTGTTCGTTAGGGTCCCAGCCTATAACAAAGCACAAGATTGGCTCAGAGCACTCAAATCCTCCAAATTTACACACTTAAGAGAATCACTGCTTCAAACCAGTCAGCTGTAAATGGCAGCTTGACATGAATTCGACTCTTTTTCACATGACTGACAGTAGACATTTTAACAATGAGTGGGTCAGGAGAGTGGTGCTCTGCCCTGATCTGAAATCGATATATATTAGAGACTGAATGCAAGGACTGAAGAAAACCCGACTGTTGCAGGAGGCACCCTTCCCAGCCTCAGGGGCTCCAGTCAGAAGGGACACAGGTAAGATGTCTTGCCTGTCCATCTAGATTTTAGGGTCCTGTTCACCTCTGGCTTCACGTAGGACCGCCAAAGTCTGCACTGTGTATCCTTGCCTAAAATCTGAAGCTATATTCCTCCTGAAGGCCTGATCAGGAAACATTTGCTCAACCATACAAGAAGCAGCCTGCTTTGCAGAAGTGATGCTTGCGATTCTGCTAGAAAGAAAAACCCCCAGCCGAACCACAGACATATCTTCTGCAACCACAAAAGCGGGGATTAGACATGCAATTATCTCTGTGACTGCAGCGCTCCTTGTGTTGGTCTGAGCAGCCCTCCAACGTTGCGCTGCACTGTGCAAACCGTAGAGACGCCTCAGGACTTGACTGTATTTGTCATCTCTTTCCATCCCCTCTTTATAATTCATACAGATTTATGGCATCTATCGAGTTCCACTATTGCAGCTAAATCCACTGGTGTACTGTTACTGAATACAAGTCATGTACTTTTAAACATCTGAGCCTTCTGCAAACGTAATTAAGGCGTTACCATATTTACTGTATGACTAAGAAACGGGACACCTCAACCATGAAACTGGATGTTCTTTTATCTACATTCAAATGCAGTGAAATTCTTTGTTTTTTACACTTCATGCAATTGTTGGTTTTCATTGAAAAACATTAGTTAAAACTAGTTATCCCTTCCCCCCACTCACTTCTCACTTTCAGGAGTTGAGAAAAGAGACAAGAATCAGGGAAATTCCCTCTTCTCCACCTATGCTCCACATCGCATCCTGTGTGTAACTTCGAGATCCTAACTGTTCTCAAAGATGGGCACAAATAACACAAATGTCCCAGACAGTGCATTGATTCCTGCAGTGCATCAGGTGAAAGACTCAGTGCCTCTAAAACCAGCCAGACGATGGTGACAATCTGTCCTAGGACCTGTGACACATCATTGCTTGGAAAACCATTCCTGAAGAAGTTGGTGTAGTTGTGGAAGCTGGCAGGGGGTGAAATCCTAGTGTGAGGAAACTAGGCAACTCCAGCGGCTCTTGCAAAAGCACAGAGGTATAAGCTCACAGCTCCCTTCTCACTCAAGACTGACGCAAGGAAGCAGACTCTCTGATCTGTAGATAACCAACATTCCCAAATGCTGCTGCATCTCAAAGACAGCTACTAACAACTTAGAGACTCTGCCCTGCTTTTGTTAATTTAGAGACTCTAAACATTTTCCCTTTGCCCAAAATTTAAAGGCATTTCAGGTTTTGATACCATGAAAAAGTGAGGTTTTAAGGTTGTCGAGTCAGAAGTTTTGAAATCTGATGAGGGTGAAGGCCACATAAAATAGCCATGAATTTGGTAAGGCTCTTGTGAAGACTCGTTAGCGATTTCAGGAACTAATTTTATGCCTGAAACCTATTTGTTATGTTTTAGGGGGAACAGGCAAAATGAACAATAGCCTGGATGACGCGCACAGACAAATCCTGCTTTCAAAAGTGATGACATCAGTTGCTACTCACAAGACCAGAGGAAGGAATGAGCAGCAGAGTGTGATCACATGACACTTGCGAGGTGGGTCTGGATTGGCTGCCCAATAGCCTTTTCTTACAACAGCCGTCTCCCAGGTGTGGATATTGGGCCATTTTGTCAAAAGGCTACACTCTCTAGATTTTCAAAAACAATATGAATTGGGCTTAACGGACCGTGATTGGGGAATCACGGACCTTCACTCTGCTCAAAACAAATGTCAATAGATGGTTTCAACTGCACTTCTTGACGAGGAGCGAAACCCAAGCAAAATGCTATTGCATTTCTATTGTTCCCCATTTTTTGCACATTAGAAAAAAAGGGTTAGGCTTGCCTTCGCACAGCACAAGGTGCGGTAACTTTTGCTTTCGTGTGAAGACTCGAAATCCCCGTCGAGGCACCTCTGTGTGTCCGAGAAGCTGATGTGAAAGGATACATGCTTCAGTGCCACAAACTATGCTATGCTGCATAGGAATTTATTTTGGAGAACAGGTGTAAAATAATTGCACCGAGTATGTTTACCCAATGAAAACATTCAGTTGTGTTCAAACCAGGGTCCAGAACAGAAAATGTGAACGCACCTCTGCCAGTACCAAGACCCCTGCAGCAGTCATGCAGAACAAAGATGTCTATGTCATTCTTGAGCAGGTTCCTAGTCTTAACGGAAATGGAAACCACAGAAGATCTATATAAGTAAATCAGCAAATATGCTGAAGACATGAATTCTTAAAGACCACAATCACGGTGCTTCAACTGCAGCCTCTAGAAAAGGAGAAGCCCACTGGCATGTGAAGTCTTTTATGTTTCTAAAAAGCTGTTTCTCATACAGCCCCAGTTTTCTTTTACGTTACTGTATGATGTTGGCAGATCTTCCTAAACTCTCTGTCGGAAGAAATCACCGTTTCACAAGCTTTCAGAGAGAATACAAAGCACTCAATCCTCAGCCAAACTGTTTTATGTGCGTGTGCAGCATAAATCTGCATTTTATATACTTAATATTAACATGTAATGCATTTCAGAAATGATCAGCAAGAGATATCAGCTTCATCAGCCTCCCAGAAACTACACTGCATACTTTTAAAGAGTTACTTTTAAAGAGAGAGTGCATTTTTAAGGAACTGAAACAAATTACAACACTTCGCTCAGATACCATGTGAGACCAGTGAATTAAACGAAGGGAGGTAAACTAGAACAGACCTGCATTTCACTGGAAAGTGTGAAGAAACCAGCAATACCCACGGAATACTGGGAAGAACATGCAGACTCCACACAGACAGATATTCAAGGAAATACACGAACCCAGGAACTGTGAGGCAGCAGAGCTAGCAGGCCAATCACAACGCCTCCCACATTACAGTACTAGGCCACAAGGAAACTACGGAGGAAGTGGTGAAGGACTGAAACTTTAATAAATACAAAATTTGGTAAACTCCAGTAAGATCAAAACAGTCCACATCTTTAACCCAAGAGGGCAAAAGCCGTTTTGCACAATCACGTCGGAGATTTTACTGACCGTCTTTCTGGTATGGAACCTTAGAGATATGCTATTTAATCTTCTCTCAAAGCAAACAGTAGGGAAACTTGCCAAATTCTTCTAGTAGGAAAACAAGCGATTTAGCACATTCTGCCCTTCAGTGCCTAGAAGCAGATGATCCCCCTCAGCACACAAAGCTTCTTAAATTAAACTTCTATTGCCAAATCATACTTTACAAAAAAAATCCAAAGCAGTATGCACAGGTTTGGGATAAGTGGGAAAACCGAGACCAAGCAGGAAGGAGATCACAGATGGACAAAGTTTCAAGACAAAATCCTCACAGTAAAGCTGTCCTTGGTCCGGCTGACACATTCAGGACCTCCAGCGCCAGCCTGCTCAGTTCTCTGTGCGTGTGCCCCTCTACAGTTAGAGCCCACTTGGTCATGGCTGTCACTGGTCACATGAGCAGCGCCTGGGGCCGCCAATGTCGGGACTCGGCTCATGTTCGGAAGATGAAGGGAATGCTGCCAGCTGGCAGCAGAGCTCAGAGGTCACATTTCTATTCCTCGGGACGCAAGCACCTCAACCCTGGTTGCGCGAGGCCAGCAGCACAGGGTTATAAGGAAAGTAGAGGAGATAAAGCCAGGATGTGCACCAAGAAAATGCCCCCAGCGGACCCTGCTACTGCCCTGCTCTCCACAGCAGCACCTTTCTGGAATCACCTGCATCGCAGTGCACCCTGCATTCATGCAGCATGGAGATCAGGCCAGTCCCCGAGACACGTTTCACTGAGCTCACATCAGTTAGAGGAACTGAGCTTTTGGTAAAAATGATTTCCTTTTAAACCTTGCAGAGGTATCTCAAAGCTGAAAATTTCCAAACACAGAATAAGTACGGAGATCTAGCACAAAGTAACCAGCACTGTAGTTTCAAAACGCACACAACCTACAGTAGATGGCTTAGCTGGAAAGACGCCGCTGCTGTGTGTGGGGGAACCTACCGTCTTACCATAGTAAAGGAAGGGGAAACCCCCTCACAGCTGAGCAGTCGAAGGAGCGCCCCCAGATTCTGAGCAGATCGCCTAAGCCGAGCCCCGTCCTCCTAAGGGCCAGCAGCCCACGTCAGGATTTGACCTTTTCAGCAGTTAATTGCCAAGATCAGTGTTGCTCCTTAAGTTTTTGCAGGTCTCATAAGGGGCGGCACCAGGGCACCCTGAACAGAGGACCTAGGGTCAGACCCTTCCAGTTTTGACTCTGCGGTTTGTCATGCGCCCGTTACACCGAGAGAGGACAGTATGAAGTGTGGGTGGGGAGGGGCTCCAAAACACAAAGCCAAACAAGAAAGATGGAAATGTGCACCCGAGAGGAACTATATACAGCAATATCAGCTGCAATCACCTTTGAGAACAAAACACTCCCAACTCCTGCCTGACACAACCCCTAACACTTCTGCAAACAATTTAACAAGTTCTTACAGTTCGGTGTGCTCTACGTCAACCTTTTCAGCGGTCTC